AAAGTGAGCCCTTGTCCGTGTTTCAATCTGTTTCTTTCCTCGCCTTCTGGTTTCCTTTTTTCCGTATTGTTTGCGCCAAAGAAGTTAACTTCTTTTTTTGTGCTTTCGAAACAGTGCTTGCAGCGGTGAGATTCGTAGCGCCCTTCGTAACGTCGTCGGAGGTGCGCTTCGCAACAGTGGTGCCTGAGTATGGGTAGGCGTAAGTATGAAGGTGAATTCTTATGTGAGTGTGGAGGTGAGTGAGGGTTTATGATCTTGAGCAGGTGCGAGTATGAAGGTGAGTGAGTAACTATGAGTCTTAATTGAGGTGCACGAAAAATTGAAGTACAAGAAGACACCTGGACACGGCGCGCTATCTCGAGGTGTTTTCCTTTTGTACTTCAATTTTTCGCGCACCTCAGTTAATATGAACTACCAACTCGCCCAGCAGTCCGTGTTTCTCTAAGTGTGAGTAGTCGTGAGTATGAACGTGAGCCATGAACAATGAGTGTGAGTAGGCGTGAGTATGAACGTGAGTGACTGTGAGTAGGCGTGAGTATGAACGTGAGTGAGTACTCATCAATGTGAGTAGTCGTGAGTATGAACGTGAGTGCTAGCCTATGAGGGCCTATGAGTGCTAGCTGGCGTGAGTGTGAACGTGAGTGAGTACTCACAAGTGTGAGTAGTCGTGAGTATGAAATGATTGAGTACTCATCAATGTGAGTAGTTGTGAGTATGAACGTGAGTGAGGGCCTAGAGTGTGAGCTGGCGTAAGTTTGAACATGAGTGAGTACTCATGAGTATGAGTAAAAGTCGGTATGAACGTGAATGAGTACTTTCAGTGTGAGTCGAAGTGAGTTTAAACGTGAGTGAGTACTCATGAGTGTGAGTATGAACGTGAGTGAGTACTCTGAGTGTGACAAGGAGTGAGTATGAACGTGAGTGAGTACTTCGAGTATGAGAAGGAGTGAGCATGAACTTGAGTGAGTGTGAGTAGGCGTGAGTATGAACGTGAGTAAGTACTTTGAGTGTGAGAAGGAGTGAGTATGAACATTAGTGAGTACTCATGAGTGCGAGTAGGCTTGAGTATGAACGTGAGTGAGGGCCTATGAGTGGGAGTAGACGTGAGTATGAACGTGAGTGAGGGTGAAGGCTGAAAAAATTATGGTGAGTGAGTATGAATGAGTAGTCTCTGAATGTGCCGACCTATGTGTATTAGCATCAATTTTCTTAAATAGGTCTACAAAAAATAAAGGAAATAATATGTGAACACCGCAGAAATGAATTTATTGTGCCACTGTGCTGCTCAAACTATGTTGCCCATGCCAAGACAGGCTTTTTTCCATTCTTGATTTGACATTTCTTTTCAGCTGTGCCCCTTCTATGAGGCCACATTTCACCAACTAGACTATTTGCCAGAACCCACATGATGCCATGTCCCAGTGAGCAAGCTACAATGTAATTGCAGTAAACGTACCTGATAAGACTTTGTGAGTGCTCTCACTACTGAAAGATGAATGCCAGTGCAATGCCAACGCTTCATTGACTTAAGCTTATTCTGTAATGATTCTTTTCAATTTCCATTGTCTGATAGCATGCTGCTCTTATCACTGGAGTTGGCCGCTTAGCAGAGCTGATAATAAAAACCAGTAGAATCAGAGAAAGACAATCCTTATGTGTGCTGCGCAAATATGCGCGATGCGATAGTCTTTACACCATACGAATCAGGAAAGTCATTTCACGTGTCGCAGAGTTGAAAAACAACACATCTCCATTCAAAGATAATAATCATCCAGCACTGGATATTCCAGTAAATATTTCCTACAGCTTCCACACGGTCAACTTTAACCAGAACACAGGTAATGATATAGTACTAGAAGGAGTCCAAGAGTGAAATTTGGCTCTATTTGGTGGCAACAATGATGGCAATGACATGCTTCCACTGAAGCACTTACTTCCAGCGTGTTGTGAAGGGCTTGTACGAAGTTTGTACAGGTAGGGCCAGTGGTTTTCCACCAGAGAAGACCTGACAGGAGACAACAAGATCTGACCGGTTCTCATCGTAGAGGCTCGAGTGCCTCAGCAAAGGGTCATTCAGGAGGGCTTGGTGGCTGGGCTTTTCTCTTGTGCCTTCAAGCGTACCTCTGAGGGAGACAGGAAAAGAATGAAGGTATAAGCAAGCACCACACAAACAACCCAAAATTTCTGAATGAGCCCCTCTAGAAAAACTCAGAAGTGTCACTTTGCAATACAAAATATTTATGCAATGTTCAAGTCACCATTCAACTGAATGGTCACCACTTGATACAAGTATGATGCAAGTAAGGCATTCATATTAACGAAAACTAACACACAATAATGTCGAAAAAAGGACATTTATTTGGCATCACTGTCCATTTGTTCTCATTAATTTTGTGTCAAAAAAAAAAATTGATCCTTTCAAAATTTTCACTTTTTTCCTTCAAGTATGGCATCCAAACGTTTTACTGATCCTCCCTAAAAACTGCTCAGCACACAGTGCTGAAGCATTAGAAGGCAACTGTTAAAACTATACATGAGTGTTGGCAGCCACAGCATTGAAGCAGCCATCTATTATTTGCCTAGAGGGAGAGCTTTCTTCCAGCCCCTCACAATCTATCAACAGTGGCAGTAATACAGTAAAAACAACAGTCCATCTTGCAGCCATTCTATCGAGAGGCCACCTTATTCAATGAACCGCCGAATGTTTCTTTTTTTTTTTTTCGAGCTACTAAATCACACGCATTATTGTAAATGCAAGGCTCACAGGCCACTTGGCTTCTCTTCCTCCTTTCATAAACAAAATATTTGTATGTCAAAATAATGCTACTGGCCTATGAGGAAACAATCCAGTAAGTAAAAAACTGAGATTGTAGGTAAGCCCACCGCACAACAAGGACACCAGATCCCTGTCGGGCAGAGAGGGACAGCCGCATGTTACTCCTGAAATACATAGGTATGCACACTAGAGCTGCACCTTCCTCTCAATGCCACTATAATTAGCAAATCACTTTGCACAACAAATAACACAAAGCTAAGCCGCTTGTAGAGAATAAAGCAAAATCGTATAAAGGTTTTCTTGTACAGTGAATATGCCAAAGATGATCTATTTATATATGTGACAAGTTCAACAAGGAACCTAAAAATCACGTACATGATTGATGGCATTTATATACCTTCTCTCTTCAGCTTTAGACACAATAGTAACGATGCCAGTAAATGCATTGGTATACACATGTGCGGTAAGTAATGCCTGTCAAACTTGTTCTTTTTTTTTGTCACTTAGAACATCGCGACTCCTTTAATTAACCTAGCCTTTGTATGTATCCCAGTGCATTGTTTAAGAGATGCAGAAAGAGCCTCATCAAATTTTAAAGTGTTCTACATTCAACACACTATGTGATTATCTATTTCTTGAACTGTCAATCTGCAACAAAATGTTGCCACGAGCTACAAAAAACTGCTGTGTCTAACAAAACGAAAATAAAATTAAATAACGTTCAATTTCGCAGGTCTGGTGCACTAGAAAGGCAGAAGTTTATTTTTAGCTTTGAAACTTTTCAACAATAGCGCTTCAAGAAGAGCACCAAGCAATTAAATAAATAGAAAAAGAAGAATACGCGCATTCCGTGCCGTGCATAGCAACCATGCCGAAATTAACAAATTGGTATGTCGGTGCGCCTGTTTCTCAATCAAATGCAACTCATTCACATTGCAGGCTTTTGTGATTAACGTACGCGCAGCGACTCGAAAGCGCTAACGCCACTCGGGAGCGGCACGTGTACTTGCTACGCTGACTATTTTTTATCGAATCGCCTTCCTCCCTGCAAAGGATAAACATAGGAGGGGAGAGAGCGATCAACAAATGCCCACCTCATGACTAGCAACTTGCGCAGGTGGTGCTTAAAACGACGGATGTTTCGGTACTCCTTTATCGTTAAGACGTCAAGACTGACCTTTGCGCCAGACCCTCCTGCGCGTTCGGATATCAGCGCACCATCTTTTCACTCATTGGTGCAAGTACACTGAGCGAGAAAAATACATCGTTCAGCATAACTGCTCCAAACTGTCGTTTCGTGAGCATCCGTTCGAAAAATATTCACGAATACGTGAGCGCAACTTCTACAAATAGACCGGCGGCATAGAGTCGCAACAAGTGGCCCGAGCTCGCTGACAGGCGACACGATCGTCATGGGTGTGCAGCTGCTACCGCAATACACAAAGGAGAAAAGCGAAGCGCAGGTGTTGTGAAAGGCTTGTCATTGGTCTCGCAAGATGATTGTTCGAGCACGACGCTATTTAACAAGCCTCAAGTTTGCGCCCCAATCGAAAAGTACTGCCCGAACTACTGACACTTGGGTGACGTAAACACAGGACAAAATGAAACTGGACAGCTTTTAAACGCTAAATGAAAGTAGCCCAACGAACAGCTGATAGCAGCTGGCATCGCAAACACCACTCGATCCTTTTTCCCTGTCTGTGCTGAAATCTACGCGACTAAAAACCCGTTTACGATCGAAGAGCGGGTAAAAGCAGTCATACAATTGTACTCACATTTTAATTTTAAAATTTGTGTCCAAGTCGCAGCTGTAAATATGCCGAAACGTCTGGAGCGACTCCGGATCGTCTGAGTACGCCGCCATGTTTTAGAATGCAGCCCCGCAACAAAAGTCAGTACAGTTAGAATACTGAAATAGAAGTTAAACACTATGTTTTTATTTTATAAAATATAAAAAGTTACCTTAATTTGAAACTTGTTCATTATTTTGAGTGGTCGTAAGTATATGCAATATTGTTATTTTTGTGCGGAGCAAATATTGTGAGGTAAACCGGAACGAAAGCGAAGCAGCCGAAATTGAAGACGAGGAAACGAAACAGCCGCTGTGTTTGATAAGGAACGCGCAAAACTCGGGAACAAATCGCCCTGCAAGTACGCTAATCAACGATCCGCGCTTTCAAAACCTAGCTGTGTGGAAAGGCTTAGTAACGACGCAATCGTAAGTACTTACTCGAGTGGTTTCACTCGGCAAAATCTATCAAGCTACGCGTACCGACTCGACGTATTTTTCAAACCGTCAAGGAAAGTCGGCGAATGGCTCTCAAAGGAATCCGTGTCCTCGAGATGGCTGGCCTGGCTCCGGCCCCTTTCTGCGGCATGTTGCTACGAGACTTCGGAGCTTCCGTGATTCGAATTGACAGGGTAAGATTTGCTGCTGAGCTCGATCATTGCACACTTGTTGTACGATCTGTTTTCTTTTTCTTGTTACTTTCAGCCAGAACCGCAGTTGGATGCAGATCGCCTGGGCAGGGGCAAGCGGTCTATCATGATCGACCTGGGGAAGAAGAAAGGGGCCGATTTGCTGCTAAAAATGGCCAAGAAATCTGACGTTCTACTTGAGGGCTACCGCCCAGGTATACATATATTAATCGCCAAACTTGCATGCTTGCGATCGTAGTACTTGCTGTCAGTCTGGTTGGTGCGTCTTCGGAATCAGTAGAATCAAATGACGTAGTTTATTAGCGCAATGGTGGACGGTAAGGCTATATAATATATACCAGATCTACCGGAAATTAAATATATTTGATTTGTGTGATGATAGCATTCTGTGGTTTAGATTGTGCTGCTGAATCTTGTTGCTATATACAGAGGATACACGAAACTTCCTTGTTAGCTGGCTTTTTATAAATATAGGGAAGAGGCGGGGGGGGGGGGGGGGGCTCATTCTTGAATCCGACGGAAAGGTGACAGTGGTAGAGTGTACGTCATTTTGTGATCTGTAAATAATTCCGGCGAAAGGGGCACGGGCCATGTGTACTAACCCCTGGCTACGCCACCGAGCTTCATCAGCAGCGCGTGAAATCGGAATATCTTGTCGGGTTTGTCTTCATTTCAATCCGCTTCCTGAGCAATATGTGTGCTAGCTACGTGCAGGCAATCTTGCAACTATCGGCATGACTCAATTATTTTTGTAGCATGCGTCATATATATATACAGCATTGATTTGCGAGTCTGCAAAAATTAGAAGACCTTCCCGAGCACTTTACCTTTCTCAAGAAGCAATGCAACGCTAATGGACAACGCAGATTTACATACATGAAATGTCATCATCATCTGAGGATGTTTCTCCAGTAATGCTATCTTGTTCACTTTTAATGTCGATGACCAATTACTGTTTGTGTTACTTAAACACGAACAAGTAACTTCGATACTTCTGACGTGTGGAAAACACCGTAGGTCGGTGAACGCCATCAATAAATCCACAGCAGTCAATTCCGAGCAGTGCCACGTTCCCGAAGTGAGCAGGCCAGACATACCATGTGCAACAAAAGCTGTCACATGTGTTACAAAGCATTTGCGTGAGGCAGGACGTATGCGTTGACATTGCAATCCACGCTGACGTTTATGTAATGAAAAGATAGAACATCAGACACGCGGGACTTTAGGTGCAACTACTTGCAGCCTCGCAAGCATATATGGCTCATTGCTAAACCGATATTGTGTGCCTGTTAGGTTGCAAGCACTGGTGAATTCAGAGTGGCGTAGACGTGCGCAGGATTCTCCATTAATGTGGGGGAGGTCTCGCTGCAGCCCCCTCCTCTGCCTCGTGCGCACACTGAGCCCGACAATGAGTGCCGCGCCGTAATTGGCTCATAGGAGGGCACCTCAACAGCACGACAGGGTGTAATGGCAATAGGTGCTAGCATCTTTTCACTTCTGTGCACAGGAAAGAGAGATGAGACTTGTACGCAACTGACACGCGGGCTAATTGGTGTACTTGTTGACAGCAGCATGGTCACACTTGGGTTCACTAGCGCGTGACAGTAAAGAAGGGCTCGTGTTGAGTTCTTTGCGTGAATTGCGAAATCCGTGCCAAACCACCACGTGCGTGTGTCTTTTTCTTCCCAGGAGTGATGGAGCGTCTGGGTGTCGGGCCCGACGTGCTCCTAAAGTCAAACCCGCGGCTGGTGTACGCCCGCCTCACGGGGTTCGGCCAGACGGGGCCCTTCTCTGCCATGGCCGGCCACGACATCAACTATGTCGCAATGTCCGGTCAGTGCTCCTTGCAGTCTCATATGTGTCCCCGTACGCCATATCGTAGACAAACATGACGATGAAATCCTGGAAGACTTGTACAGTAGAACTACCCGATATAGTTGTTATCAAAGGATACTGTGGTTAAAGCTATATATAACTTCATCATAGGTATTTGACGTAAAATTACGCCGTAATATGACTGGCGACATATGTGTTGAACACTTTCATTACGAGAAAAGTGAAGCAAGAAATGTACCTTATTTGTGCACTTGAGAAGGTTAAAAAATTGTCGCAATATGTTTTTGAAAGTACTACTATTATATTGTTACACGACATCGGGAACGAGAAAGCATCAGACATACGATTAAGACGAGTGCGATCGCGTTGTTCTGCCATCTTGGCTGCAGCTGCCTCTGATTCTTCCTGTATATTTTGTAAGTATATTTTTTTTTTTCGTACTCTTATCCCCGTGACATTTGATGAAGTTGTTGGGTACAACTCGATATAACGGAGCTCCGCAGCGGCCGACGTTTGGATTTTTCCACCATAGCAAACTAGGGGCCCGCTCCCGCCAAGGCGACCACAACAGCGCGATCGCATTCGTCGTCTTCATCATCTGTCTGATGCTTTCTCGTTCCCAATGTCGTATGTAACAATATAATAAACAAAGGCCCATGAACTTCGCCATCACCACCTGTAACCCAGATCAGAGCGTATGTGCATGCATGTCTATAATGTTCGATCAAAACCAAAAAAAAATTAAGTGAATGATGCGTCTTTATCAAGGCACTGCCTTGAAATGGTTTTCGGTACAAGCTATACAGTTCGCAATCGTAATAAAAATCGGTTCACAAATCGCGCATTTTGCTCATTTGCAATAGCGCTGATAAATACGCGATATGCGCGCTTATGGCCAATCATGGCTGTGTGCATTTTTGCGCACTGCAGGCGTTCTGTCCATGTTGGGCGCGTACGGCCAGAAGCCGCAGCCGCCAGTGAACTTGATGGCGGACTTCGCCGGCGGCGGCCTGCTGTGCGCGCTGGGCATCTGCATGGCGCTTCTCGAACGGGAGCGCTCCGGCAAGGGACAGGTCATCGACGCGAGCATGGCCAGTGATGCATCTGTATACTCGTAATTCGTGGCTAAGGCGCCCCTCAAGTTAAGAGCACCCTCCTGAAAGTGCGTTGGTCTCTCCCTTTATTGAAGAAGAGTCTTATGACAAGGGTGCTGTTATGGGGCAAATTAGTGCCCTTCCATGTATGTGCACGGCCGGTCCGGAAGAGCGCGCTCACTTCAGACTGTGGTGCGTGTTGGAGAGGAAGGAGGGGCATATACTGTTCATCGCCAGGCTAGGGTGTCCGGGCCCCCTCTTGAATTTTCGTGGAAGGATCCTTGCCTTCGACGCATTGTGCTCAATCAAAGGCCCATTGTTAGGCTCTTGTTCAAACGTTTAGGCTTAACTAAATGTTTGTAGCGTTAACTGGTAATCGCAAGAAAAACTATAAGACATTAAATAAGGTGGAATGATACAGGACTGGAGTCTTATCCTGTCCTTCTTTCCGTGGTTATCAGTTTGCGGCAAAAATATTTCGTGAACGCGTGAGCCAACTATCCCAACGCATTCATCTGCTGAAACGTTTGCGGGATTTTGTTATATCACCACACAGATTCACGATGTCTTTATTCCCACGCACGACTCTTGTCGTCAGGCAGTTTTAGTGGAATGTCTGTGTCTGATGCAGACGCCCAACTGAAAACTGTCTGTTAATAATATTGGTACCCCATATACTTTTACGCAACCACAAAGATTGATTGAAGCCCCTTTACAGCCAGGATCGTATCACCAATTCAATGTGTCAATAAGACTTCATTATTATCACTGTTTATACGGACTCTCATTGGTTGTCACTGCAGTCCCCGTGCTCTAATACATTACGTACATCGTCATCATTGAAGTGCATGCTCCTTCTCAAAAGCGTGTGATGTGGTAGGATGCTGACGCACAGTCTTGCGCGCACGCACAGACTGAGGGCTGCGCGTACGTGAGCACCTTCCTGTGGAGGACGCGCAGCTCCAAGATGGCGCTGCCCATCTGGATCGACGAGCGCGGAGGAAACATCCTGGACGGCGGCGCGCACTTCTACAACGTGTACGAGACCAAGGACGGCAAGTACATGGCGGTCGGGGCACTAGAGCCGCACTTCTACAAGATCCTCGTGGAAGGCAAGTGGGCCACAACTACGATTCTTTTTGCGTTCTGTTGCTACTTCAGTTTTCTTTCTTTTGTATTTAGGCCATAACTGGCTACAATAATAGCTATATATTTGTATACCCATATTTCATCACCCTTGTAGATCCAATAAATTAAGTTAAGTTGAAAGTTTTTCTGTCCCTTGTTTAATTCCTACTCGAAGCTTCTCAGCTTTCCAATATAAAATTTCCCAGCTTTAGCTCAGGAAGGCCTGGGTACTAAGTGAGGCCCGTTGTGAGAAGTACTTCATCGCTTCATTTTTATATTTACATTCTTTACAGAGTTTGTTCTCTTTGGGACTTGAACAGTAAGGGGAAGTGGGTGGTGGTGAATCTTCGCTCCCGAGTAATGGAGGACGCCACTGCGCAATCATATATGTCCATAACACGTATATATTTATGGGGAGTATACCATAGAGCTGGTTGATAGGGATCGTGGAGGCACGCAGCATGTGTTAAAAATAAGGTAACATATATGTAGGTTCAGTATAGAAGGTCTGTGCGTCTGTAACGGTTTGAAACGGTTGCGTCTGCTGCGACGCAGGCCTGGGTCTGGATCCGGAGGAAGTGCCACAGTTCTCCGAGTGGGACAAGTGCAAGGCAGGTGTTCGCCGACGCGTTCAAGCGGAAGACGCAAGCCGAGTGGTGCTGCCGTGTTCGACCTGACGGACTGGCTGCGCGGTGCCCGTGTTGGACCTACGACAAAGTCAGCGAGCACCAGCACAACGCGCACCGGGGCGCCTTCATCGAATGCAAGGACGGGCCGCCGGTTCCCCGTCCGGCGCCGCTGCTGCTGAGGACGCCAGCCGAGCCGGACATGGAGGAGCCGCTGATCGGCGAGCACACCAGGCAGATCCTCCAGGAAGTGCTCGGAATTGGGGACGCCGAGGTGCAGAAACTGATAGACGACAACGTGGTCGCGGCACCCACCTACAAGCTCAAGTCCAAGTTGTAGTCTACGTATTAACATAAACGGCGCGTGTGGCCATTCCTGAACATCGGTTGCACGTCTTCGTGGCCGAAGCGCGCACAGGAAGATGTATCTTTTGGGGTTCATAGAGAGTTTTCGAATTGGGGCCCCAAAGAAATAGCTTCAAGTCCACTGCGCATGCGCGAAACCCGAACTGCGTTTGGGTTGGGCACGCTGTTTCTTGAATTTGGCGGGAGCCCCAAAACCTGCCCCAAAAGTTTTGGATTAAGGCAAACGTGGCGGCACCCACTGAAGTGACGGTTCTCGGCCAAGACTAGAGTAATAGGGGAGTGTCGAAAGCGCCGCAAACCCTATACAAAACTCATTGCTCCTGCTTAAGCCTATATAAGGATCCATACGAAAAGGGCTTTTGGGCCCCTATTCGAAAACTCCCTGGTATCTCTACACACTGATATGCGCAGGCCGTATACAGTGTTCTCTATACAACACACGAACATACAGAAAAGCGTCGTACCCCTCCCGCGAAATAGATATCTGGCTGCGAGTGCCCCTCATTAACAGGTTCTGCACCATATGAAAACTGAAGTGCCTTAAATGATCACAGGGTTACAGTAGCATGAAAATCCGTGGAAGGGGTCGCATATACATCTACTTAAAAGCATGCTCATGTGCATGGTTTGCGTGCTAAAAAGCGTGAGGAAGTGGCAAAAAACAATCAAAATATTTCACTTATATGAAAGCACTACAAATATATCGGACCAGAGTATATGGGACCAGTCGTAAAATTGTTGTTGCACCGTAAGTTATTTGCGCGCCAGGTGATGTGTCGGTCCTTCGATCCGAGAGAAAATGTCGCAAAGGGCTGTGAGCATTCACACAAATAGTGCTTGCGCATCACACAGGCTGTGCACAAGTAGCGCTTGTGCAAATCTTGCTGCATCCGCACAAGCTGTGCTTCGACCACTCGCCTGTGCTCGTGGGAGTCGCTGTATATAAAATATGAAAGGAATAAAAGAGTTTTTCTATTTAATTTTTAATGATCGTTCAACTATTCTGTGTGTGTGCGTGTTTTTTTTTCTTGTTATCAAAATGTTGTTATTCGATTAAATGTACCTGCACTGAAGGTCCGGTTCAACCGAATCTTCATTTCTGATATGCATTGCAGGAACAGCCGTTTTAAGTGCCTCCCGGAAAAAAGGGTTGCGCATACCTTGTTGCGCAATTCCTTTAGATTTTTTTTTTTAATTTTATGTTGCCATTTTTTGCAGCGCTTTTATACTACCCTTTGTGTTTTGTAAATATACACATAGATCTCTGCCGTATGTTTTAAGTGTGCAGAATCAACAAAGCCGACTATATAATACCACTTGCGAAGACAAAGGCTTTTAAAATATTAATAATAACAAAGAACATAGCTTACATGGCCTTCCGCTTGTCTTTTGAGGCGTTAATGAAATGGCGTGAAGATTTTATAATAACACGCGTAGCTTTTGGCCTGCATATCTAGTTTGTATACACTTATTTGCGGCTCTTTAAATAGATGACATAAAATACCATGAAGTAAAAGTAATTTTAGACATCGTAGTCATACGTTGTGCTATAGTGCTGGAATAAAATGGAAGAAGAAGAAGAGGACCCGCGAGAAAGGTGAAGAAGATCCTACCGCCGGGTTCATCGCCGGGTTCTTGGCCGATGCCCCTTTGTGGGTGTGCGCCAGATTAACTAGGATCATCATCATCATCACCATTCGTGTTCGCGCGCCAGCGGTTGGACAAAGCCCGAATAAGGAGGATCTCCAGGCTTTCAGAAGACTATGCGTAAGTGGTATCCATTGTTCGCGTAAATTCAGAGCTATCTTAGTACATCGACGATAGAATGAATTGTAGTTGACGGATATATGACGACCTCTTCGGCGATCAATTTTCACTAAGAACCGCTTGCGAACCTTTCCGTTCACTGACAGCACCGGTAATGATTTCATATCGACATGCCCTTTCATTTTCGTATTGAACGGGCCCTGAGCCTATGGTTTGGTGAGAAAATTTACGAGTGGCTTAGCTCGGCTGTGCCAGGATATATGTAGCGTGAGCTGAAAATGCTCCGGTATCTCTGCAACACGTTTAGCCTTTTTCTGTTCGTTCTTTCTACGCTCACCCACTAACATACAGGCAACCACTTCAGGGATGCGACGAGCCAAGCTCCTCCGCTCTTCTGCGCCACTGAGCAGCAGTTTCCCTTACTGGCAAACGCCTCGCTACAGTGTACACCCCAACTGATACTTCTGTGCATGTGCGCAGAATGAGAGGCACTATCAAGTGGCGGCAGCTGGGTGGGCACGCGCTGGCGTCAATTCGTATGTCGTGGCTGTGACGTCACTTCTCTGGAATGGACAGATTGGCGAGGAAAGCGGTGACTCCGTGTGACGTCACTGTTCCTCGCGCATGCGCAGCACGGTTCTCAATAAGCCACGCCCCAGCCAGTGTGTAGCGCACGCTACAAAACGCATCCTACGATATAATGGAATTCTAGCCACCATAGCAGTGAGAAGATTTTCAAAGGGGTGTGAAGTTGCCTTTTTTTTTTTTTTCCGGCGCCCTCTTTTCGCGAAGATGCCTGTACTCTCTTCCTTCGGAGCTGCCAGTGCCTTGATTCCTCTCGTGTTTGAGGATTTTTATGATTATTCCTGGTTTGCGCTTCGGCCAACCCGTCGCATGCCAGCCCTTCGCCAAAAACCGACATAAAATGAAAAGCGGCGTTCCGGTCAGACGCTCTTTCAACGCGTTGCCGACGCGCACGTGCCGCACACACTTGCGCACAGAAATCACAACGGGAAAGATCGATCTCGGGCGCTATTCTGGACAAATTAAGCCACACTGTGAAGTATTTGCAATGGCGGCATTTCAAGTCGATAAGAGTGGCCTGCCGTAGCCTCCATTGTTGGCTCAAGTGCCGTCATTGTTCAACTCTGGACCAATCAGAGTTGACTAGTGGCGGAATATGACAACATGACGAAATTAGGCAGTGTCTCAGAATCTCGTCCCCGGAGTGATTGCGTGTCGTCACGCGCGCTCGAAGTCATGTCGCAACTTTTTTCAACGTGCCTCCCTGCGTAGCTTCCAGCGAGATCACCGGGATGGCAGAAGAGGGCGCTTGGAACGTGCGACAAGTCCCTGTGACCATATGCACGCGAGGGCGCCCCGCTACAGTCACCTAAGAAGAAGGAGGCGCAAAATCAGCCCCATAGATTAACATAATGAGGAGGAGGGCGCTGTGACTTTGGAAGGGGGGGGGGGGGGAGGCGCAAAGTAAGCTCCACACGTTGACATGCAAGGGGGGGGGGGGGCGCTGCTACGAACCTCCCTCCCCCCCACGATCCTGACGAGGAGAGGATCCTTGCGCACTCCTATGCATATAATCCCACCCGTTCTTGAGAAATTCTAGATAATATTTGAGGTAATCGATTTTTAAGGCAAGAAACTCCTATACAGCGGTCGTTCGACGATCACTACGGTCATTCGACGATTTTTTTTTTCTGCCGAGTGGTCTGTCGGAGATTGTACCTTTGTCATGTCATCCGTAATCTTAAACATATTGCTGATCTTGTTATCTTACATCTTGATGTTGTATACCACCTGCAACTGTATTCCTTTTTTGTTGTTGTTTTTGTTCCTACATTAATGCTCATTGGGTGCTGTAGGCATCTGAATAATTAAAAAAAAAATCACTGACAAAAGTGGATTCAGCGCCCTTTAAGCGTCAAGTTGTAACCATGCACGCGCCTTGATGCACGCCTTCGGTGCTGTTTGAACATGAGTGCAGTAGACGTATAACGCCGTCACATTAGGGTCAGCTAACGAACGCCTTTGCATATGTTGACAATCATCCTGAGGTTGAGAGCATTCCGCCAGTGCTGCCAAATAGACAGTTAGCTGCAGTTATAGATGGTCAGTTATAACTACATGTTGGTATGAAAGCAGCTGTCGCTTATATAGATAGCATCGACAGCCATTGGCGACGGATTCTGCCCGACATTTTGTTTTCTGTTCTGTCTCGTTGCAGATTCTGTGCAGCCGCCGCCACACGTGCTAGCCCGGTAGGTGCGCCGGCCCGCTGGCTCACATATTTATTTATTTACAAATTTATTTATTTTATTTACAAGATACTGCAGGCACGGAGCCCAAGCAGGAATGGTACAGGCAGTAAGGCAATCAAGCCAAGCATCACACAGCATACAATAATCCAATCATCACACACTTACAACAATAATGCAACCAAGCTTATCATAGCAGCAATGAATTAAGTGGGATTGCGAGAATCGCATTTTTTTATTTATCAAAAGAAAGGAAAAGCAACTGGCACTAAAAGTAAGAAAACAACAAAGTAAGCATATGCATGGAGTGTTGCTCGATATGTTCCAGAAACCATAGTTACCCGGTCTTGTCGTAAAAAAAAAAAAAATGAATGAGGGGGATCTCTGCACGGTATGAGCCACTGTGCAGATGAGTTCTTGAAACGAGCTCCTCCTGCATCCCTGGTATGCCGCTTAAGAAGTTACATTTGTACTACTCGGATGCTCAGGAGGATTCTGGCACCTACGTAAAGCCTCGAGAGTGCCGGATTCGCCATGTAATAAGATGAGTTGTCCTCAGACGCCGTTATCGTGAAAAACCTGCGGGGCCCACAAAAACTTCGCACTTCAAACGATAGCGGGACAGGTCCGACCACAGTGAGTCCGACTAAAAAAGGCTGCCCCCACTCCCCTGCTTTCGCGAAACTCATTTTGGCAAAACGAAGCAGCAGCGTAGAAGTGTGGCAGCTTTGGGCTAGTTGGTATGGCATGACGATAGTTATAGCGCGAGAACAAAACGACGTCACAGAGACAAGAAGGACACGAAAGCGCTCGTGTCTTTCGTGTCCTTCTGGTCTCTGTGTCGTCGTTTTGTTCTCGCGCTATAACTATCGGGAAGCAGCAGCGCACGCCTCGAAACGAATAGCCGTCTCTGATTCGCGAATGAGCTCGTGACGTCTGCACGGGTCAACGTGAAGCGCCCGATTCGAACACCATGCTGAACGTTGTGCGCTTTACTGCTTAGCAAAGTTAACTTCTTCAGACACAGCTTGTCGCTGCTGTGCTCGCGGTCGAATTAGAGAAGCTTTCACAGTCTATAAAAGTTGAGCAAACGCGGAGTCGCGAGTCATTATGCAAGCAATAGCAGAACACCATGCCAATTTACACGCCGGCGATCAGGCAAGTCGCATGAGCTTTTTGTGAGCACATGCTTAACTGGTATTGCTGTGCCCTTACATAGTAGGATGTCGGGCACTCCAACAAAGCGTTCTGGACGCGTTTTTCTTCTTATTCTCTAATGCAGGCATGACAGCGAACATACGCATTCCAAAAGCGTGTTTCTACGGCAAAATTATGCCACCTCTCGTAACAATGGCTGTGACACGATAACGTTCAATTTTGCGACACCTTTTACCACCGGTCGCCATCCCAAAAGCCACATGTGCACACGGAATCGTCATGTTTTTTTTTTTGTTGTTGTTGTCTGAGGATCGCAGGTAATTGCGTTTTCCACCACCAGGGCAAAACGGCCGCGATCAAACGGGTTGCCATAATTCTTTTTTTTTTTTTTGGCGGAGGGGGGGGGGGGGTCAGCTTGATTTCAGGAGGGCCCCCCCCCTTACAAAGACCATTTTTTTTGCTCTATGCCGTGGCGAAAAAAAAAAAATCGGCGGGGGCACGTGCCTGGTGTGCCATCCCCTGGCAACACCCCTGGCTTCGATGCGACGTTTGCCCTAAAGCTGTCCACCTTCACCATCGCTGTCGACTAGCAATGAAACAGTGAATGCTTTGCCTGAGAACATCTTGCCTTTAGAGCAATTGCTCAACCAGCGGTGCCATAATTTGACGCTGTGTTGAAAGCAAGCGATTGCAGAAATCTCATGCATGCACAAAGGGCAGATGAATTTCACTTACCCGTAGTGTCGCGCACACGCGCTTGAAATGACGTATAACCGGGAAGGTTACATGCATGGTATCTGCGCGATCGCATATCATGAATAATACTGGTGCACTTCAGGAACATTTTGACCACGCTTCGGCGCGCTTATTATCACAATTCAGATCTCGGCGGTTACATCCGCTGAACGTTCTCTCGAGACCCACTCACAGAATCATGAATAGCACCGAAGGTTTATAAGGTTAAAACAGCGCGACGTCAGCGTTTGAATTTCTGTATGCACACTACGTTAGTACTTTTCTGCTAAGCTAAATGTTGAAGTTTTGCACAGAAAAACGTCATATTCACCCCTGTATTCACAAACGCTCCTCGACCCGACTTACACCCTTCACTTGGCAGAGTTGAGCATGCACTGCGCTGCTGCTCGGCTGAAAGTGACACTGCGCTACCCAGGAATCGCAGCAGATTATCGCTGATATGCAGTGACTTTCCCTGCCTAGAGACGGCACTCCCATCGGCCTTCTCAAGTGAAGGGGAAGCGTTGAGTGGAGGGACATTCCAGAATACGGGGGTTAGAGTCCGATGATCAAATATGTGATTCTTGGGTTTAATTCCCCCAAAACACCACACGATAGGGGTACACCGAACGAGGGCTGCAGAAATTTCGACCAATTGTGAGGAGGTCGAACCTATATACACCTCAAGCATTTTCGCCTTCATGAAAAATGCGACGGCCGCGATTAGATCCTGTGACCTTGGGGTCGGCAACCCAAACACAACCAATCGAGCACCACAACCAATCTGCTTTTGCAAATTTCATGAGAGGTTAATTAAAAGAATGAAAAATGAAGGCCTATGAGCATATACATTTTGATTGATTGATATGTTGAGTTTAACGTCCAAAAACCACCATATGGTTATGAGAGACGCCGCAGAGGAGGGTTCTGAAATTTCGACAACCTGGGGGTTCTTTAAAGTGCACCCAAATCTGAGCACACGGGCCTATAACATTTCCGCCTCCATCGGAAATGCAGCCGCCGGGATTTGATCTCGCGACCTGCGGGTCAGCAGGTCGAATACCTTAGCCACTAGACCACCGCGGCGAGGCAGCATATACATTTTGAATTTCTTGATTTTACCTTAGATCAATACCAAGTTGGCAGCGACGCCAAATCCGTGGCGTTTTTTTTCTCTTGTATTAGCGCACATGACGTATATGCAAACGCACTCGAAATAGTTTGAAGTTCTTTGATTGGTTCAATGAGAACGCAATGTCGTCGGCCTATATTATTACATATTTGTACTAACCAAGGCCCAACAACGCACCCGCCGTTCGAGTTCATGGCGTCTTAGGTGGCTGGTGCGGAAGCTTCGAAGAATTCGCAAACGGCACGTTATAAGTATTGTCTATTAATTGGACACGGAAGTGAAACATTACGTCAGCTTAGACAGGTATTCTTTGGGAACTCTAATATCATAATTTCCTCGCCATAGGTATAGTTATCAGGAACGGAAATGAGGGCGAAAGTTTCATGTTTGAATTTCGCGCCGAAACGTGAACGTCATCGCGACGTCGCAAATTGTAGTCTTGTTTTGTATTTTGGCCGCACTGGTTCTATGAAATTTGCCAAACTGGGTGGGTTAAGACCTTGTGTGCCTTGGAACGCAACGCGAACCCTTTTGAGCGGCGTACGATTACGTAGGACCTGGCTGACGCCCTCAAAGCCTATGACGTCACAGCGATATGTGGTGCGTGAACTTCGAGATGGCGTCGCCACTAAGAGTTTTTTTTTTTTTTTCGAGTCTTCTTTCGGTAAAAGTGATGCTGTCAGTATTGTGAAATTGCGATTTACTAATACGAGAAAAATCGCACGTCTCTCCCAAGTTTCGTACCGTAGGCGTGTGTGTGCGGCACAAGTTAACACACGACCCTTTCCCGTTTTGACAGAGAGAAGGACGACCCACCAGAGCCGGTGATCCCAGACGGCGCCGTGTACCTCATCGGGGGTTTCGTCCTGTGCCTGGTCGTCGGAAGTCTCTTCTTCATGGCTTACGTCATGATCTCGGAGAGCGGTCAGTGACACTCGACTCCACCGTATCATCCAAGGCCTTGCGATCCTGACGTCAAATGCGCGATAGACGAGCGAATCTTGCAAGGAGCTGCATGTGCTCACTTACAGGCGACAGTGCGCGACAAGTAGTGGGTGGCAGTCGTCATCGAGGGCTGTGTCCTGTCGCGGTAATTAAAAGAAGTTATTCCCCTAGAGAGAACGGGCCTAGTTATGCGACTGCCTTGCGCCTCGAAGCTGAGAAAGTAGTGTAGGCAGTTAATCTCAACTTCGGATTTTCAGATGGCGAAACAAGGACTCCCAAAGCTTGCAAGTGCATGCTGCCTCAGCTTCTTTTTGTTCCCGTAACTTACGTCGCCAACAAACATATGTTGCTCTTGACACAGTTTCACTCCATCCCATCGAAACTATGCAGTGTTGATTGTAGAGCACACCATGTGCAAAAGCAGCTCTTGACGAAGTGTGTTCAATGGTACTTTTAAATGTGTGCACAAACAGACTAAAAAAAGAAAATCTTCCAAATGTATTCACTTAGTTGTAAAGGTGGAAGTAAAGTTTGCGCATGTGCCACAGATGAAGTAACCACGCGGTGTTTAGCATTGTACAAAGCTTAATTTAAGCTTCATTTTCAAAATATGGCAGCATGCTCACAACTTTTGCTAGACAGCTATGCAGGAAATTTGGAATCTCGGAAGTGGTAGACAATGACAGTCCGCATGTGCAAATACTGAAAGTTACATATGCAGCCACAAACACTTTATAAACATAGGCATCCTTGCTGCATATGATACTGCAGGTGCCTTTCACGAGTAGGTTTGAATTTTGTTTAATCAATGAATTTCTACAGTTTCACATAAAAAATTGTCACAAAAATCCAATTATTTTTTCTTGTGGCATGCTTCTAAACATTCATCAACTAAATGGGGCTAACAGCAGCTCACTAAAAAGCTGTGCATGAGCATACTGATCATGATTCATTAGACTGAGAATTCACAGTAGCTTTTCTTCTCTTTACAGCGGCAGTTGGAGGCACGCGGAAGTGATGAGTACGAGCTTCTCATTTTCAACACAACCCTTGAAGAAAGCAAGACCACGTGAGCATGTTAGCTCTCCAAGCAGCACATCATGGTTGAATATTTCGCCCCTACTCCATCAAACATCAACTTTGCGATTTTCGTTATGACTACACTTTGCCATGCCCTGTGTTGTATTGCTTGACCCTTGGCTACAAACAGTACTCCCTGCTGCTCCAATGAAGTTTCATGTCGCCAAGTGCATATTGTGATCAGACCACGCATCTCGAGACATTCATCCACAAAGATGCTAGAGCAAGAACTCGGCATTTTCACTTGTTCTCCGCTGAGAAGGACATTGTTTATTTGGGCATTCAGGTACTTTGTACAAAAATAAAGACACGACATATATAAAAAGGTGTGAGAGACAGCTTTGGCTCTACTGTTTATTCAAAAAAATGTGTTTGAAAGCGCAGCATAGCTGGTTGCTTGCAGAACACCATAAATTACTTTCTTTACAGGTATGTACACATCATAAACTATATCTGAAACTCACAACATACACAAGCGAGGAAAATTAGCGTATATAAATTAGAAGCTTGCTTGGGAGATGCAGGGAAGCGAAAGGAAAAACAAAATGGTGGAGGAGCTCTGCAAGGATGTACTAAAAGTAGCAAGGTAAAAATGAAAAGAAAATCCTAAAAAAAAGAGAGTGACATTTTGTTCCACTTTGATGGTCCTAAGCTAGACGCGGGTGACTAGAGCTGGACAATGCACCACTTGCAAGACTGCCTTTTTTTTTTTTCCCGCACCCTTGCACATGCGCCACAAACAATAAATAACAAACTGTTCATGCGCACGATGATGCCCAGCCAGAAATTTTAGCGGCCTTGAGTGGGCAAGACCGCAACTGCCGTTTTGTTCGATTCAACTCTCCGAGGCATACTTTGCATAAAAAATTGAAACAACAAAATAATGGCTATCTCAACAATGCCTCAGCTGTGCCTGCGTGATACATCCACATGGTGTTATGCTGGCAATACTTTTATAAATGTCGTCAAACTGGGCCTCTAAAAGTCTTGCCAAAGGCCTAACAAAAAACTTGTATGTGCTTCTCTATTATAGCATTCCTCTCCACAAAACTGCCGCAAATGGTGGTGGCAGTCACTGCCACTGCACAATACTGGGCTGACAGTTTTCAAGAGAGGAAACGTAGCAGCTTAGGCACTCGAGAATATGCCACCCCCCCTCCAAACTTTTTTTTAAAAGGGCAACGCATTAAGGCTGGCTTTGCCATTAAGAAGGGGGGTTCCCAGCTTCATGCTGCGACTTTTTTTGTGAAAGTGCTGCTGATCGCAGCCGACTATTCCTCCTACAGTGCTGTTCCTACACCGATTGTCGCACAAGTCCAAGTGACTGCAGCAGGCGGAGGACCACAGTTGCTACCCGTGACTCGTCGAAAGTAAGGTCGTTGCGAATCCACCGACGCTGGATGGTCGCACTTTTTCGCCAGAATGTGGCACACTTCCAAAGTCTCATTTCCGAGGAAGTTGCACAAGGAAATAATGTAGCAATAAAAAGTTCCACGACAGGCTGCGACACGAGTCCTCTGAGGAGTCCACAAAGGCACCGATTGCTGATTTGCTTCTGTGGCGCTTCTTGTTAGCCTTGCGTCTCGTTTTTCTTTGGGTGTCGAAGTGAGGTTGATCAGCGAGGCCTTGGCACAGGAGTTTTGAGGACAAGTGCGCTCTCCGCTGAGATGATGGGAAGAGCGTTGTCCCGGTGAAAGTTTACGAGGTGGCTGACGCTGTCGAAAGTTCGGTCCTTTGTGCGCACCTGAAGTAGAAAAGAAAGAGGTTTCATTGTAGGAGAGCGGCACATTCACATAGGCAACAGTATGATTCAGCATTCTGCCATCAGCCTGACCTTTACTTCCCCTGGCCACCAAGAAACAAAACTAACTATGAATGTTCAGATTCATGAAGCTCAGTTGCAGTTCAAAGTTCGGTTAAAACATGTAAAGAAGAAGTTGAAAAAAAAAAAAAGATTGCACATGACACAAAAGAGCCACGTAGACGCAAGGGGTAGTTTAGGTTCACCATTCAGCAATACAGAACTCACGAAATGGAATAAATATGAACATGCCCTCCATTAGCCAACACCCTACACCATTCAGCGATGGTGAAGCTGCCAATACTGCTGCACAATGACTTAGCTGAAATGCTAAAACACGTCGCATGCAAAAGAAGTGCACGTTTATAAAAGTGAAACAATTTCAGCCAGCAAGCTAAATGCGGTGAAAACCACCAGTGAGCGAGGCTGTTAGTACATGTCATTCCATATGGTGAAAACCATCAATTAGCAAAGCTGTTAGCGTGTGACTATATGTGATTGGCTAAAGAGATCACGTGGTGTCGTCAATTGACCTCTTGATTTGAAATATGCTTATAGACCGTTCCATTCGTCAAGGATTGGACCGGAAACCAGCACTTTTCTTCCTTTCTAGAGCATGCTGACGGCACGAAGTTACAGGATGATGCTTAGATGAGTATCTTTTTCATACAATTTCAGCGTGTTTTAGGTCGAACTGCAGATTTTCTTCCCTTCTATTGTGATGTCAGTCAGCAAAAAGGTCAACGGGAAGCCACTGTTCCATTTATGATTGTTCTAAGAACAACAAAAAAATAAATACAACAAAACTGTTGTCTGAATATGCGGCACGCATCACCAAATGTGTAGCATATGCAGTTGCTTCACGGTACAACTTCTGTGTTATGTGACAAGTTCTATCACGGACAAGTTCTGACACAGAATACCCAGTGTTCCACTCAGCCAAATGCCAATCGGATATGGTTAGATTGACGACCAAACTTAAGCAGGTCAAGTACGGCTCTATCCGTTACAAAAGATCTGAGCACCACCTGTGTTGTCTTTGCCTCGTTTTATTATTCGATTTCAGTATAATGGGTTTGGTCACAACAATTAGCCTCGTAGCTCAGCTCAACACAGTGATGAATGTAGTTGATGTGGCTGTATTAACACAGATGAGAAACCGCTCACTTTGCAGCGGAGTAAGCGGCATAACATGATTTAAGCTGTGCTGCGCACCCGCATTGTGTAACCAGACCATTCACTAAGTTTTACATGAAAATGACGTGTCGAAATGCTTGTGGTGAGCGTACAACTTCCGTAATACAGCGGGATGGACCGTACCCGATGTGCGATATCAAAGCCGAATAGTGAAAAAAAAAAAAGGGAGTTCTGTCACATTGTGCTTTGAATAACTGCTACAGATACACAATTTCTCGCGCGGTCAAGAACCATGTCTGACAAGTCGCGCAATAATACAGTATATACATAGTTAATTCTCTTCTAAGACCAAACAAAACTAAGCCACGTTGTTGCGGTTGTCTGCTGTTTCTATAGCTGTTAATTTCACTTAGCTTTGCGAACGACAACCGAGATTTCGCAAAAGCCGTACAACTGGTAGACAAAATTATTTTGAAAAAATAAACACAAAAATAGGTGTTATGCCAATCATAAGCCAGAGCCCGGGCGTGCTTGATGTCTCATCGGCAAAAGAAAGAAAGTCGCACGCTTCAGTGAGTTGCCATACCACGGACGCCACCGCCCGCTAGGCAATATGGCAGCGCCCATGCTAAAAAGGTCTATACATTTTGAGCACCTTCAACCTCATAACTCATAAAACATTTTCATGATCATCTTGATCGTCATCCCCTCTGCTCATTAGACCTGCATAATTATGATGGCTAATGCTGCTACTACTACTACTACTACTATTACTACTGTTACTGCTACAACTACTATGACTGCACAGGGTAGACTAAGACAGCTTTGTTGTAAAATCCAACATACCACGCCTGCTGGGTCCACGAGGAGCAAGTGACGGCGAGCACCGTTCTGCATGCCTGTCAGCACAAACTGCCCCGGGGAGTTGTGCGATTCACGCACCAGAAAGTCCCCATCATGGGCGAGGCGTGACTCGCCCTCCTTGCGGCTGATGGCACCATGGAACCACACTTCCCGCTCCAGAGTCGCACGGTGCCACGCCTCCTCCTGGGCTACACCACTCTGCGGTGGTGCTACGGGAGCTGCATGCGAAGTGTGCAATGAAGTTAGAAGGGCACGCACATTCTGTCTGCCAACGATGGCCAATGCAAAGTGTGAAAGACCAAGCAGCAAGTGGCGTTTGCCGACTGTTGGGGTTTCACGTCCAAAAACAACAAAATGATTATGAGGGACACTGTATTGGGGGCTTCCAAAAACTTCAGCCACCTGACGCTTTTTTCTTAACATGCACCTAAGCACACGGGCCTCCAGCATTTTCACCTTCATCGAAAATGTGGCCGTCGTGGCCATGATTCGATCCAACGACCTCCAGATCAGCAGTTCAGAGTAGCAAGTTGAATGACGTAGAATCAATGTTTATGAAGGTTAGTTTGCCCCACCACACTTGGATCACGAGAATGCTGTAGTTAAGGGTTCTGAGTTCACTTTGGCAACGTGATTTTTTTTCTTAAGGACGACAGTCTTTCTTGAGATACTTCGACGCAGAAATTTCGGTCTCTGTGTGTGTGTGCGTGTATCTTTCCTGCCTTCCTGTTGGTCATCCGATTTAAGTAGAATGGTTTTCGTTTTCCCATCCTCTACCTCTTAGTATGTACACACACGCACACGTGCGCACACACACACACACACACACACACAGCTGACGGGTGAGGTATGCTTGCCTCAAGAGTTGGTACGCCCCTGACCACAAAATGCAGGAATGTGTGATAGAAATGGCAGCAAAATAAAACTCACGCATATCAAATGGGTCCAAGATGCCATTTTTGCCCAGTCCAGTGTCCTGGCCCATGTTGACGTATTCTGTTCAATGAAAGATTTAGAGAAGAATGGTGAGCAAAGGGACCTTATGGGGAGACGCTCCTCGAAAGCACTTTTTTTTTGTTATTCAACTTAGAGCTTCAGAAATTGGACCACTGATGCAGTTTTTCCTCCTGATTCCAAATCTGTAATCAGTTTTTACATAAGTGCAATAGTTTGGGAGTTGTGTTTCAAGTAATGGTGAAACTTGATAAGTTTTCCGGGAACTTTCGCGCATACTAAATGTTCATGCAGAGAGTTGTTCAATGGCTCCTTTTGCTCCCTATTAGCCATAGAGTGCCGATATCTAGCTAGAAATTGTGCTCCAACTTTGAAACTATGAAAAAAACATCTGTGTAGCAAACTACCCTTTTTTTTCCACTCGACCACCATTAAATTTATTAATAGATATTTACAGCTGATAGGTTGTGCTGATTCAAGTAGATATCGGCACCCTACGCACTCTCCTCAATGTGTGTGCCAAATTTCGTCGTCGTATGACCATTCTAAGAGCCCGAAACACTTCCCGCAAAAAATGCAAATTGGCCAAAATTGCGAAATGAGAATAACGCGTTTGAAAGTTTGAAAGTCTGTATTTACAAAAATGAAAAACGCAGTAGCACGAAACTTGTGCTGAACACATACACACATGTCCAGAGGGAATATCAGTTGTCTAAAACTCTCCAGCACCGTAGGTTTTCCCTTCCCGGCTGGTGCGGCAGGACTCTTCCACCCGGGCCCTCTTGGCTGCACTGCGACGGTGTGCCCTCGCCTCAGCGGTCTGACGCACATTCATCTTGTGCATGCGCATGCTGTCAAGGCGGTCGCTGAGGGTAACCAGGGCCTCCGAAGGAAGCACCCCAAGCTCTTCCAGCACCTTTTCAAAGCTCGCGTGGCCCCGGTTGAACCACAGGACTGCAATGGCTGTGGCTGTTTCCACAGCAGTCCGGGAAGCAAACCGGGTCTTTGGACACAGCAGCCATATTTTGCTGTTCAGGGACTCGGCCGCGTTCTGTGTCTTGCCGTGGAGGCACCGGGCAAGCAGCTTCGCATCTGTGAGACGCTTGTAGATTGGGAGGACTGCCAAACCCTGGGCCTTGGTCAGGAGGGGGGTGTGGCACGGTGCAGGCTGGCCCTGCGCCTCAGCACGTCGGTGCTTGCACCACGAGTCTGGGCCTGCAGGACAGAACTTGTGACTTCCAGCACCGTCTGTTGAGCACGAGTGCAAACATGAGGCCCATATGGCAGTGTACATCTTGTGGACATTTCCCCGATTGTTCACAATGACCACCTGAAAGTAAGTTTGAAGCTTCTGGATGGTGGTCTCCTTCAGCTTCTCCCCTCGTGGAAGTGGCGTTGGCAGCTTCCGCAGGCCGGTGCCCAGACGTTTCGCCACGTGGTTGGTGCACTCCTCTTTTTCAATTGGAGTGTCAGGGTACACGTTGGCATCACAGACCCCGTTGTAGGCCTTGCTGTCTCCATCGCTTAGGAAGATGGTGAACCGCAGGGGTGTCTCATAGTCCACAGTCCTCTGCCAAATGCGCACTGCAGCTTCGGCCTCCATGGCATGCGAAGAACAGTCGCAATTCTTCTCACAAACGGGATGATGAAACGCCTGCCATGTTTCTTCATCGCCTCCCATGTCGTTATGCAAACTGCACGCCAGGCAGAAGTTGGAAAGCACTTCATAGTCCAGGCACAAACCAGTGTCCAAGGACACTACAGTTCCCACACCATTGTGGCTTTTGTGGCCTCTTTTTTGCCATGTGCCGTCAAACATGACTGGCACGTCACTGTTACCAGCCACCTCTTTGGCGACGCTGCGTGCCCTTTGCATGTTTTCACAGACAGCCTTCACTGCCGCACTGTGAATCTTTTTGCCGATAGCATGGAAGGTCTTATGGTGCATAGGGTTGGCAATCCAACTACTGCACAAAATCGTGAAAGTTGCTCATGCCCGATACCGACGGCACGCGCTGCAAGCACCACTTTCAGGTTCACGGCAAAGGCGTCACGCGAACTCCCGCTGTCGTAGCTTCTGCTTGCACCGCGGCCGCCATCTGACGCGACCCGCTTCGACGAGTACGCGGACGAAAGGATGCTCTCCGAGCACTCCGCATTCTCGCAGTGTAGCTCCAGAAACGCCGAAAGGCCTTTACGCTTTTTATTCGGTGCCCGAACTGCGAGTTTACTCTCGTGACAAACGGGGCATGCCGCGCCTGCGACGACGGCCGTCAATGCACCCAACTCGCACAGCACTACGCTTTCGGCACGATCGGCATTCGGCCTGACGTCGTTTTCGAATAATGCGATCTTTTTCTGCGATGCACTCACAAATTCACTGCAGCGTTGATCTCGTCGTCGCAGTTGCCATGGTCGACGTTGCCGTGGTCGATGTTAGGCCTACCGGCCGCTGGCCCGTCGCGGACATTTTCGTTGGCGGTGGCTTTCTTGTACGTCCTCCGCCGCTTCCCTCTGAACTTGTTCTTACTTCTGTATTTCCGATGGTCGGCAACGGCCTTTTTCGGGCTTGCCATCGCACGAAAACAGCGAAAAATAACTCCGGAAAACAGTGAAGCGAACTACGGCAAGAAAACACGGGTGCTGTCAGCCAATGGCGGCCCTGCGTTAGTGGCGCGCGGTTTGAAACGGCGGGAAAAGACTGTTTTTGTTGCTTTTTTTTTAGATTTTTCGTGAACGTACGAGACTTCAAGAACCGGGATCGTGGAGAGTAAGGACAACTCTACACGAGCCAGCGGCCGCAATATGGCGGACAGCTCTCTTCGCGGCCCCGCGAGCACGCGAACAGCAGCCCGTTTTGTGTAAATTTCGTGATGCCGCGCGTCACTGCCGCTCACTCAGACGCGTTTTTCACTGACTTCTGATGCTTATTTCGCTGTGATATTTTCAGATGTCAAAATATAATGTATAAAGATGATAAAGCAACAAAAAACAGAAAAGGTGAAATTTGGAAAAAAAAACGCGACTTTTCGACCCGCGTCTCCCCTTATGGCAGGTGTGCCTCTTTACTAAAAAAAAAGTCAGATTTACAGAGCACCCTTAGTATAGAACAAAAGCTTAGATAAATGATGCATGTTCAGAGAAAAGAATACAAGTGTCATTGAAACATTGAACTTCATAAAAAAATTTGGCCAAGGTATTAAAAGATTACATCATCATTGAAGATGTAGTGTAATGGTTCTTCAATGTGGCAGACGAAATGTTTTTTTCTGTTACACTTGATTTTACCCACGAGAGTGTGCTCGCTACTATGATTATGCACTTTGATTGGTTTGTGTGACATAAAGGGACTTCACAGAAGGACCATGAGCAGAGATCATAAATAGAATCATTGGCTTCACCAATAGATGAACTTCTGCAGCCTTTGTTAAAATAATCAAAAGGCGATGCAACAGATACAGGGAATGTTCAGCTTAATGTAAATGCAAGCAGCAAGCAACAATGTGTTGACAATTTTATACTAAATGCCACATTGAAAGAGACAGGATATGAATCTGGTATTCTTTCAGCTAGCTAAATGAGCCTAGAAGCTTAGTACACGCTTCCAATGGGGCTTATTTATCTATTGATAGCGAATGACACCTGTTTCCCACATGAACTGTTTGGAAAACGTTGAGAAAACCCTCACCATGACGTTGCACAATTGGCACCGGTGGGAGTTCCTCTCCGCTCAGGTCGATGAGATTTGTGTCGCGGGAAATCTTGCGCGCATTTGGCTGAGGTGGAATGCTCACTGGTGCACTTGTTAATGCTTCTCTTGAGGTATCCATGCTGTCCTGTAATGAAATTTGAGTTGTGTTAACACTGTTTCGTGATGAAATGACCGATCGAGTTGAAGGCTGCTAGACATGAGACCGGCCGTCACAGACTTTGAACAGAACGTACAACATCCTAGTAAATGATAATGAACTCGGGGGTTCTGTATTCCCCAACCCAAACCAATTACTAGGCATGCCCAGTTGGTGATTATGACAGTTGGTGACCACAATGTTAAAGCAACAGGAATGTTTTAGTAGGTACCTAAATTTATATACACAAATGCTCGTGTACACTCTGCACTCACTGAAGCGAGGTCACTCGGCTAGCACTGAACATATGACCTCAAACTCAGAAGTAAGTGCAATGCCATCACTACTAAGCCACTTGGGCGAGTGATGCATAGGATCTAGTTAACATGCAAGGTTACCTTGTAATGTCAGATTATATGAATCAACTCCGACGAGGTCAACTTACGTCGGCCATCGGATCTGTGCGGTAGTCAGGCAGAGGGGGAACAGGCGGTGGTGGAGCCTCGGGTGGTATCTTGCCAGGAAGATCATTGTAGTAATCAGGATCATCCTTTGACGGTGCCACAGTCTCTGGCCTGCAAGTACGTCAAGACGACAGCATCAAGACAACTGAAACCTGGAGACTTTAAGCTGTCGCCACATAAATTGCGATGTGAAGGATGCCACCTTGCACAAAGCCTAATTTTAAACTGTCTCAAGTACAACCCAAATGAACTTATTTAAAAGTTTGTGCTAAAGTTCTTGCCCTGTTTACGTGGTAAATTAGGACATCTCACATTCCTCTCATGCACGTGTTCCAGCAAACATACAATGCTCTTTCTAATGCATTTATACATAGCACCAGTTCCCAAATAGTTCAGTTGATGACCAGTTTGCTCAGCAACCCATGCATTACTTTGTACGTCGGTAAGGCTTGTCTAGAGCATCAATAACGGGGAGGTTATCAAATGAATGTGGCAACACAGTGGCAACACTCACCTCTTTGGTGGCAGCCCTGGTGGTGGTGCTGTGCGCATAAACTCTCGAAGCGAAGTTCGAAGGCATGCCCGATAGTTGAGATGACATCCTGAGCCAACACACCACCCGAACATTCCAAGACAAAGCAGGCTCGTGCATTCTCCTTATCTTTGGCCACGTATGCCACAAAGTCCAGAGTTTCCTGCATGCCACCACAAAAAAGCACTTCCCTTTAACACCGTTCTCCATCACACGTCTTTCTCATTCCCTCCCTTCATAGTACGAGCGCTCATAAACAACATTTACCAGGTCTTGCTCAGACATCGAAGGCTTCAATCAATGTAAATTAAAATTGAAACAAAGATAATTTCTTGTTTATGTTAACATCAAGCTGCCTGAAGATTTTGGCTGAGCAATGGGGTGCTAATGTGTACTTGGCAAGAGTTTATAGTGCTCATGAACCATTTCATGTTTAACTCATTTTGAATGTACAGTACTCACTTATTCAAACGTCCCATCAAAGTTTTTAGTATAACGACTGCTATATGCAATTGCTCGAGATTACCACATCATGTCACCAGGAATCTCATTTCTCAAGATATTCTTGGTACTGATCTACATGCTCAGAGTCAAAATCACACTGGTACAACCCAAACGGAGGACTGTGGAAATGAAAGTATATGCGTTACCTTGTCCCAAATTGTCTCATTTCAATCTGTGAGCACTGTACATGATTTCTTTTGTTTCAGTCATGTTGACACCCCACCCCCACACACACATATATATATATGTAATGTGTTTTTTTCTTTGCCATAAAAGTACTTTTTAGTTTGATTTTATACTGTGCCCACGAACTTATTTCATTCACACCCTAAACAGTTGTCACACAGGCACTTTCGATTGTGGTTAGAGACCACCTGGATTTGACTCTATCCATATCAAGAGCTGCTACATGGTCACTTTTAGTCGTGATCAGGCCCAATCGGGATGAAGAGAATCCCAATCAGCACATCGCAATCTAATTGACATATGTGCCAATCTCAATAAGCACTTGTTTTGAACTACGTAGCAGTGACCACTCTTGTTCCCAATCAAGAAATATGATGTACAACAAACTCGGTTGTGGTCAAAAGTGCCCGTGTGACAATGATATAAGTGTCCCCCAAAATTTGAACGCTAGCCAGAATTTCCAAGCCAACAATATACCTAAATCAGGCACAGGCACTTGTTATCAAACAAGGCTTCACTTTCTTGCTGTGTGAGTCATGAAAGCATGCACATTATTACAAGGTAACTGCAATGGTTTTCTAGAAGAACAAAAGGACCAATGAAAGATAAGAAGGACATATGCTGCATTACAGTTTCTATGCTACCAGACGAAATAGCAAAGCCATAATCCAGGACTCAGGTTGAAACTGTATCTTTGTTGCAACAAATTCTTAGGTAGTTTCAGAAGAGACATTCATAAATGGTCAGCAGATGGAAAGAGCACTTCATCTTGATTATCAACAAATATTAACTAATCTAAATGAGCATTGCTGAAGTGCCATTACAGTGCAGTAAAAGAATAAAACAAACACACAATGCTCACCGTGTCTCCAGCAGAAGCAAATGATATGTTGGGCATGCTGTGGTCGGCGATCACCTGACCACTCTCTTTAACAGCCAGTGTCAGATTGGAGCTGGTGACACAAAGGGTTACGTTCGAGCCAGCATAGTCCAAGTTTGGCCTATCAGCCAGCATACGTTGCAGTCTCCGGTCCACCTGCAAAGATGGCAAGTTGCAAGGTAAGTTATGGCACACACAAAAAAAAATTCATTACAAACAATATTGCAGACAAGAATGACTGTCACACCGCACACTTATAAAAAGAGCAATAAAGGACAGAGAGAGTCTAATCTGAAGCATAAGAGCAAGCCATTCTTCAAGATTTATTCAACCTGGAAATGTAAATGGTCCCAAAAGCGTGAACTTTCTTCCTCTGTATCAACAGTGACACTTCAACATCTGTCAAGTCATCCCTTTTCATGATGGCATGTCCAAATGGTACGCGCAATATTTTTCCAACAAGCATTCACAATGAGGCAATGAAAGTGACTCAGGCCCTTTAGGAACTGCTGTATCCTGATGCTTTGATTCAGGTGTAAGTTTCCTGCACCGGTCCAAGCAATCTGTCAAACAGAAATGTAGCTGTATTCTGACACTCTAATTGAACAAAATCTAGTGAAGCCACAGAAGGAAGTTCTAGGAACAATGCGCTAAAATAAGAAAGCAGCGCACCAGCCAGGCTCTCCGACTTCAAACATATGTAACCGCCTGTCCAGTAGTCTGAAGGGGTTTATAATTTATGGATGCTGCTAGACACACAGCTGCATGGTTGTGTGAGCATAACTTAAGCAAAGGAAAAAAAAGTGAGCATAGTTTTTCCTGGTCCAAACATCCGGAACAGCAGTGTGCTTGTTCACATTCGCCCGTGTGGCCTTTTTTTTCTGTGTGCATTGTTCGATTTTGCCAGACTCGCTCAACATGAGCCACGAGTCAGCAGCACTTGTCTCCCTTTTCAACACCCACGCATGCACGCTGCAAGTTGCTGAGACAGGAAGTGGGGGGGGGAATGTGATATTCGCTGTGCCAGCTGCAAATGTTTCGGGGGCTATAAATCAACGCGAAGCTCCTAAATGCATTTTTAAAACACACACTGGGCAAAAGAGGAAGACACCCATGTAAGTGAGTTACACAGCAGGCAGCTGCAGCTTGCAGTACAAAAGCAGCGACCACAACCATAAATCAACTGATGAAACTGACGCAGCAATGTGGAAATGCCATGGTTGGGAACTGTAGTCTCTCCTTTTGTGCGAGTGCAGTTAGTGCAACACTTTTCAAAGTGAAAACATCGTCATGTGCACCACGAGGCTTAGCGAATTGAAAGAGAATAATGCTTTAACATAATTACACAATAGATAAAGATGATAGACATGTAAGTAAACTACAACACAATTGTACGGCTCACTATCATTGCCATGAATGCTCATATGAACACTGTGATTATTTGCTTTTCATTATCCAGAGAATACAATTATAAGGACAGAGAACACTGAGCAGAATGCTGAATTAATTGCTTGAAATTCTTCTTTTACGATAAACTCGGGTTATGGTGACTAAAGCAATTGAAAAGAAAAAGACAACAACACAAGTCAGCGTATTTTCAAATACTTTTTCTTCCTTTATGATAAAATACGCATATGCTTGTAATATTAGCAGATACCTCACCTTTCTTTTTTTATCCACAGGTCTTAGTCCTGCTGCTTCACAGACCCTGGTGATGCACTCTCTAAAAAACACAAGACAAACAAGATTGTTTTTAGCCATCATAATGATAACATGATATTGCAGTGCACCTAATACATATAACGATAAATGTTCATTTATTGTGCATATGCGATAAGAAAATAACTTACTTTGCAATCAGAGACCTCGTGTCAAAATCCAGTGACTTCATCGACATCTTCACGTCAAGGCAGCCAACGTACTGCAAGCACAACAAGAAAGGTGTGCAAGAATAAGAACATAACTTATAATTATAACAACAGCAAAGTCAAATGAGCTTTGGTATACGAAAGCAGTTCAAACAAGCTCCGGCTGCAGCATATGCAAAGTGATTTATCACTTAGAATGAGCCACTGGAAAAGGCAATAAGCATACAATTTCTGGTCCAAATGGGAATTTGTCAACATTCGAACTAGATGAAACAAAATATGACTCAGGAAGTGAAGGGAAACCCCACTACCCTCCCCTGTTTCCCTTCAATAAAGACAAAAATGACCTTTCTTAGGTTTCCACAGAAGAGTAGAAAGGCTTTGTCACAGCAATGCTTCCAAAGCAGTGCATGGACACTAACAGCCCACCCCACTTTTGCAGAGAAAGGGAACATTTGTAGTGGACCTATTCAACTTTTTCGCCCAGTCATAGTGAGAAACCACACCACTCCCAATTTCGAAATGGCCTAGCAGTGCTCGCCCAATGGAGAAGGGAGAGGGAGGTACGGGGTGATTGCTGTGCCACTGTTATAAACGCCCTTCCCCTATTCCAGGTAGTCAAGGCGGGTGCTCTGTTAAGGGCACAGTTGTTAGCCTTCCCCTTTCCCCCCACTCCTCTTCCATCAAAAGCACAGAGCCGCGCCCCGCCCAGCAGTGGAGCTCGTAAAAGCTCACAGGTGGCTTCCTTTACGGCCCTGAACACCCGGGGGGTTTTCTTTTCGCTCTCGCAGGGGGATGCGCGGGATGCACGGAAGGAAGGAAGGGCGAGCGGGGGAAGGCACACGGGGAGCGTCCACAGGAGGGCGGCAATAGAAGCACCCACCCCGACCGCGCAGGCAAAGCAGACGAGGGGACAGCAGCGGGCCCCGGGAGGACATGGATGCCAGCTGTTCTTTCGATTCGACCCAAACACACACAAAAAAAAGACCTTCCGGCGGGAGATGAACCCCCCCCCCCCCCCCTGCTCTACCGCACACTTACGTTCCCGCTGTCGAAACGCGCGCTGCCACAAAACCGGAAGTAGAAAACACAGCGCTGCTCCGCACGCACGAACTCCGGTCGTCGTCTGCTTCCGGTTTTACAACACGCTTCTTGTTACTGCGACACACGCTGACTTACCCTGCATCCCCCCTCTTTTCCTTTCTCGCCCTATAGCTTGCTGAGCGAGCCATCATTACGGCTTCCGATCTCCGCGGGCACGGAAGGGGCGAGGAGGAGCCCGGAACTGAGATCGGGGAGGAGGACGGAAGTACGGAAGGCGCGCGAAGCTAAACGAAAGGCAGTTGCACGCGATCGACAAGCGTTCAGCCCGCGCCGCAATGGTGCTCGGTCCAGATATAACCCAACGATTCTATATTACCATCCCATTACTCTGCATTCGAACAGTGCTCAGACTACGCTTTATCGACAGGTACGGCCGATCGGGGTCAGAGTGCAAGATAAAAACAAAATATAGCAGTAATAATAATAAGAATAATCTGCCGCTAAAGGGAACCATGTGTAGATGCGAAGCAGCGGGCGCCAACGCTTACACTGGCGGCGGCTTTGACGCTGGCGTTCATCGTGGCATTGCGGAGGAGAGAAATTTGGGGAGGCGGAAGCACGCAGTGATGGACCTGTGTTTCCTATACTGGGACGTGCCAATTGCTGCTGATGGGCGATGGAGAAATATAAGACTACGACTGGACACAGAGACCCGCAGTCCGGTTTCAGTTAAGGCGCAGGCTTGGAATTTTTATTGCTCAACAACGCACAGGAGAAAAAAATCTCCCACCGGCTCTACCTTGCAGGTCAGCATACAGTGCCTATGTATAACGGGGTGACCACTGAACGGCTGTGCAGCGCGAGCAGCCGTTTTTTTTTTTTTTCAGAAAAATCAAAGAACTCGCTAGCAGGCGTTGTCTGCGTTGCGAGGCGAGAGAGGGGGAGCGTAAGAGAGGAGAGAGGGAAAAGAGACGTGCGCAGTAAGTCTGGTTACGGAGCACACCGGATTGAACTCAACCGTAAGACGATTCACAAGTAAAAAAAGCGACATTATAAACGAGCATCGTATTTTTGACCGACACTTTCATTTTTTTTTTTTCATCCATTGTTACCCACAGCGCTGTATCTATATCGCGCTACGACGTCCGAGCCACATCGCTCGAGAAGGACGGAAACAAATGACCAACGAAATGGAACAGTACAAAGTGAGCTCCATGGGTCCGACGATAGTTATAGCGCGAGAACAAAACGACGACACAGGGACAAGAAGGACACGCTATAACTATCGTCATGCCATACCAACTAGCCCAAGCTGCCACACTTCCATGGGTCCATTTTGTAATGATCCATTTGCAGTGGTGAAGGAGTAAGGCTAAGGTATTCATCAGTGGGTTATATTGTGACGCGCGAGCGCTGATCGTGAGCTGTTGGAGCCGAGACTGTGCCGGTTTTCTGCCTGCTACCCGTCGTCAGTAGTAAACTCCCTTTCAAAGTGGTGGAGGCGCTCGGTAACGGGCAATAATCCCTCTGCGGCGCGGTCACAACCCAGTTTCACAAGGCTGTTTCTTCGCTGGTGACTCCATGGGATGCCGCCGCGCTAACGCAATCGCCGGCTTCGTCCAGTCGAAGCCCAAGTCCGGTTGTGTGAAGGGCACACTGTCCGACATACTACCGACGCATCATTGTTGATTAACACAATGACCACACAAGATCATGGCTAACATGAGTCACTCATTTGCACAAGCGCCCGGAACGTTACCGGCGCATCACGGGCAGCATTGCGGCCAAAAAACGTGTGACGGGGGCCCGTGGGAAAGAGGAATCCTCACCCTGACGGCGTACGTGACTCCCGGTCCGAGCACCTGCTGGTCCGTGTGCAGCCAGCCCCGGGCAGGTCGGCTGACGAATCCCGACGGCGGCGGGTGGGGCTGCTGAGGCGGCGGCGCCCTGCTGGGGCCGCCGCCCCCGATCTGGGACCAGGACGATGCCGCGGTTGCCATCCTGGTTGTTGTTGTGCGGCCGCGGGGAGTCGGACTCCGGCTCGCCTCCGGCTGGTGCGGCGGAGGGGAAGGGGCCGCGAGGTTCGACGGTGCCGGCGGCGAGGCAGAAGACGACGAGGGTATCACAGCGGTAAGGGCCGTTGGACGACGTCCGGCTAGCGGGATTCGGCGCGGCTGGGCTCGCTGGAGTCGGAGGCGCCTGGCACTGTGGCGGCGACGATGATACGCATGTGCTTCTGCGTCCAGAAAGAAAGCGGGAAAAAGGTGCTATAGCCACAATTGAAGACCGGCTAGCGCAGGTCACATGTCCAAGGGTCATTTGATACGTAGATTAAGTTGCTGGCTATCTGATCGAGGAACTCTGGCAGAGCTTAGGACTAACTGCTGGGCAATGCGCATGTGCTTCTGCGTCCAGAAAGAAAGTGGAAAAGGTGCTATAGCCACAACTGAAGACTGGCTAGCGCAGGTCACATGTCCGAGGGTCATTTGATACGATGAATTAAGCCGTTAGTTAGCTACCTGATCGAGGAACTGTGGCCGAGCTTAGAAGAACTAAGTGCTGGGCTATGGTAGGTCTTGCACTATGGCAATGACAGAGAAATGAAGCGGATAGAACATCTCTGCATGAGCATAGGCAGCCCCCCCCCCCCCCTTATTAAAGATCCTATGACACCCATGCAATCCTGGAGAAAAAAAAAAAAACTGCCCCTCAGAATTTTCGCATATTTCCTGATCAGTACACGGATGCTACAGACAAAGTCAAGAGTGGAAGGGCGCATTGTGCAATATTAGGGGCCCACTACACGTTTTCTCGAACGTAAGAAATCATCAGCCCTAATAAGATCATTAAAAGTCTCAGCGTTAGATTTTTTCAGGTTCCGAAGGATTCTGATGGGATTATCAAGTGGTATATCTAAAACGCGGTGTCAGAGCTCTCTGAAGGTCTTGTGTAACTAGAACGAAGCTAGATTAAATGTTTATAAATTATTGTAGGGTGCATCATTCCGGCTTTGATTACTACTACATATAAGCCTCGCTATTGTCACACTGAAGCTATAATTCACACTAGCTTCGAAGCATCGCAGTCACGACTCCTACGGCGAGTCGCACACGCCTGCATCGCCAAATGTGACGTCTTCAGCGCCACTCACCCTTGAGGCAGGCGCGTGTAGCGCTCAGCGCCGTCGGCGGCGAGCAGCGCCGCGTCTTCGCCGGCGGAGGAGGAGCCCTGGTGCAGCAGCAGCGCGGGGTCCTCTTTGCGGCGCAGGTTGGCCTCGAGGTGCCGCACAAAGGAAGGCGCGGGCCCCGCGCCCGGGCCCTGCGCCGTCCCGCTGGCCCCGGCGCCCGTCCTCGCTCTGCGCAGGACGCCGCCCTCGGAGACGACGCCGCTGCTCAGCAAGGAGCGCTGCTGCGGCTGTTGGTTGTTGAGGGGCTGGGACGACTGCTGCTGCCCAGTCTGGTGGTCGCCCCTCCGACGTCCTCCAGACTTGGGAGGAGACTTGGTGCCGGCGCCGTTCGACTGAATCGAGGAGGCGCCCTTCTTGCCAAGAGTTCGGCCGCCGCTTGTGCGGTCGATGGCCACGGCGACACGAACGGGGCCTGTACGGAGAAAAACACACACACACGGTCAGCGTTGCAACCAACTCAACTTGTTTCGCTTCGCAAAACTTCATGCACTTACGCACGTCGAGGCATATCATCTAATTGCACAGTACTGCACGACGGTATACGCAATGCAGATGTCGGTATACAAATGTCATACACTTTAAGTCGCATACCTGCGCAGGCACCGTCGAGCGTAGAATTGCCCTGGAGGTTGCCATTGCGCTAGCTGATCCTATTACCAAAGTCGTCACCAGCGAGTCTCAACAGGCGATCCGCAGCTACGATGCCGACCGTATCTCTCGCAAGGCATTACGCATTCAACTTGCCGTTCCCCTCTTTTGCTACATCCCGCTAACTGACTTGGGCTCCGGCCAACAAGCCGCTCAGCGGAAACGCCCAGTCCCGAAATCTTAGCCGCCATACCCGAGGGTAGAGTCCACCGCACAACTTCCCCTCGACACGAGTATGTCGCAGGACTCTCTGCTGACCACTTACACGGACATCGTCACGCCTAGGAAGATGCGTATTGGATTGGATAAACTTTTATTTGGTCCTCCAAAACACAGATCACTGTGTTGCGGGCAGCTCCCACGTGGGGACTGACATGCCAAGCTCCTCAGCCGCCTCGCGGGCTTGGTGGACGTATACCGTCCTGCACACCACGATCTAACAAGACGCGAGACCATCTCATGACGCGAACTGTATACAGACAGGCGGGCTTCCACATCCCCTCTTATACAGCTCACTAACATAACTCATCTCCAGCCACACTCATACATAAGGTGTGGACATGCACGCACTACAAAACAGACACCACAAACACCACAGAATCGAGAGAGTCCCTCCTGCGTGCCCCTGAGCTACGCCGCCGGCTCAGTCTAAGGGATCCCCGCCGACCTCCTCTTGAGTCAGTGCAATCAGTCTTCGTCCCCTCTTTTTTTGGACGCAGTAGAGAGAGCACCAGCAGCCGGTCGAACTTGCCGCTGATGGGGTCAAGTAGCGCGAAAAGAAAGTGGCGCGCACGGGCGCCAATATCGACTGTACAGACATCGGCCACCGTTGTTGGCCCGACATCCAGCCGGCTGCGATGCAGAGAGCGCTTTAATGGGCGGGGCGTACTCATTCCGGCCGACAACACACGGGGCTCTCTGGCCTAATTGCCGCTTCCAATGAAAATCATCTCTCCGCCGGGCGAAAATCATGAGAACGAAGTGCCGCCATGTTTCTTTCCTCGCGTAATTGCCCCGCGTGTCAGCGGCGGCGCTAAAAGCGTCTCCACACACCGGCGACTCGAAATCGCCTTGGCGGCAACAGCAGCCGTTTCCCAGCCACGCTTTTCGCCACGTCGCTTTCCACCTGGGGGCCCCGGGAGGAAAAAGAAAAGGCAGCCAGCCAGAAACTACCCAGCCACACGGCTCCTTCTCCACACCGGAACGATCCGAGAAAGGTGGGGAGAGATGCACTGTACTTGCTACACACACACGTGTGTGCACCACGGCGAGAGAACAGAGAATCTCGAGAAAATAAACACCCCAGTTGGTGCGTGTTTTTTTTTTTTCGTCCGTGTCCGACCGAATGCGGAGGCGGACTCCGTCAAGCATGCGCCATGCGTAATACCATTACGCCAGTGCAAGAGACAACTAATTTCAGCCGCGAGGCGACGGCCTAAGGAGCGATAACCGTACGTCAGGAAACCGCGCGGAGTCGTTCAATAGGTTGACACCGATATACATGGGACGTGTAGATGAAGCAATACTTTTTTTTTTTTTGCAGTCTAGTTGGTTCATACTTGAAAAATCGAATTGCTGCACAAACTTGAAGGAAAACAAGGGAGACAGGAAAGAGCGCTCTTTCCCGTCTCCCTTGTTTTCCTTCGAGTTTGTGCAACAATTCAATTTTTCAAGTGTTGATGAGGAGCGACTCCGTTTCGGCCTTGCAGGTTTGGCAGAGAAGCGCGCATCAAACACGGGGCCGACGGACGGCACGCGCTGTGGTGTGGGCTAGCCAAAAAACGAGCGGGATATGAAGTGTTCACTGCTATCAAGAGCGACGGAGGAGCGTCGACGTGCATGGAACAGAAGTAGTTGCGCGCAAAAGAGAGAGGAATAAAAAAAATTCAGGGAGGTGGGGGGGGGGGGGGCGTACCAAATTAGAGCAATCATATCAGCCAGCCTTCTCTACGAACGGTGAATGGTGGGGGGAACACGGAGCTTGCGACGCACAAAGGAAGAACGGCAACACAGTGGGTGGGTCGCACTCCGCTGCTTTTCGGGGGACGACTACGACAACAGAAGGGGAGAGGGGGGTTCAAGCCCGAGAAGGAAGGAAGGAGGGATGAAGAGAGGAGGTGGATGGAAGGGTTGTAGTATAGTAGTAGAGGAGAACAGCAGGCGCGAGCGCTTCCCGGAAACAGAAAACCCCACTTCCGGTCAGGGAGCGGCGCCGCCAGAAAACACCGGAAAGCGGAAACGAGCGCGTCGCCTCTCGACGCCACAGAGAGAGATCCTTGAACAGCTAAGCCTTACAAGCAGGCGAGCGCCTTGCCCGCCACGCTCAACAGTGCCGGCGAGTTGAAAGCGTCGATGGCCAAGTGTGCGAGCGTTCGAAACATTCACACTAACTTCGCAAGGGTCAGGTAAAAGAAAGCAGTGGCGACGGATGCGTACGTCACTAATAAGGAAGGCACTTAAGTTGTACGGCCAGGAGATACGGCCCGACGATCAGCGCGACAGGATGTCTTGAGGAGGCATATCGTAGTATATAGTGGGGTGTGTTGCCCTAAGGCAGTGCGAAGGTGCATGCATAAATATAGTAAACTGTGTCACGTACGGGTCACACCAGCGTCCGTTTTTTTTTTATTCCACATGCGTGGTGCGTCTTCAACAAACTGAAAGTCTCGCTTTTTAAAATTAAGTTCTCGTGTCCAGAGGACAAATTAACAATTTCGAGCGAAAAAAGCTTTCCCGACACGACAAGGTGAAGTTCTCTCACGTCTCTATAACTGACAAAGCGTGACTCGTTGTAAACAAGATCGCATCAACGGAAACCTGATTTAAAAAAAAAAAATGCATCCCTGTTCTTTATTCACGTGGGTTTACAAACACGATAGTCACGGCGATTTAAAGTAATAGAAATCACAGTTTATTCCATTTCGCTAGATCTATAAGATACTAGAGTACTATAAGATACTATAAGATACTCTACTACTCGTCATGGGGAAGGCAAACAGGTTGCTTCATAGTGGAAAAAAAAAAAGTTGCTAAACACATTTCTGCCAGGTTCACATGAAGTCTATGACAGCCTGTATACTGTCGAAGGGAACCTATTCCCGAATTCACGCCGAACCCGCTTGGAATACCAGCAACACAAAGTCAAATGAGTAACTTTCGCAAAAACATAGTACACAAACTTCGCACAGTCAAAAGAACAATTCTGCGGGATAGGCAAGGTGGTCCTGAAAACGGTTTCAAACAATACGGTAGGATAGACCATTTCCGTATTGGTCTATCCTCTCTGTCAAAATCTAGCGACTTAACCGGCGATAGGATCGATTTTGGAATCGTGTGTAACAAATCCAGCGATCAGGCACAATTGCATCAGCGCCTATCAATCGGCAAAGAAACAAACTCGAGGTTGTCCAAGACCAACCCCGTACAAATTATACGGTTGCACAAGGCATAACCAGTGAAATAATTATATAAACAGGGAAAGTTATCGTCATTGCCCTTACATGCAATAGCACCCCCCCCTCTCCCTTAGTGCGATGTCATGCTTCTTCTGCCGCTGAAACCGCAATCACAAAGCCGAGTGACAACATGAGCCGGTAAGCATTTACGAATGCCCGAGAGCGAAACAATCGAACATATTTCGCGTCAGTGCCCTCAGTACAGCTGTAAGAGACGGTCCCTGTCAGCAGTGTTTGCACGCCTCGGCAACCAGCCGCTTTCCGAAAAATTAATTTTGTAATGCCGGAGAGGTGAAGCTTCACTCCGGAAAGCGACGAAGCCCTCCCGAAGTTTCTGCGATCGACCCATCTCGTCGAACAGTTGTGACATTTATTGTGTGTGCGCGCGCGCGTGTGTTTTCGCTTCGATCCCTCCCTCTCTCTCATTCCGTTTTCATTACTTTTTCGGTCTCCCATTCCCCCTTCCCTAGAGCAGGGTAGCAAACAAGATACTTGCTTTCCGGTTAACGATAGTTATAGCGCGAAAACAAAACGACGACACAGAGACAAGAAGGACACGAAAGACACAAGCCTTTCGTGTCCTTCTTGTCTCTGTGTCGTCGTTTTTTTTTCGCGCTATAACCATCGCCATGCCATGCCAACTAGCCCAAACTGCTACACTTCCGGTTAACCTCCCTGCCTTTCTTTATGCCATCTCTCTCTCTCTCTCTCTGAGAGCTCACAAACAAGGCATCGAATTTCGTCGTATTCAACCAGAAGCGAGCACAATACGTGCGCCAACGTTTTGCGGTCAATATTGTGACGACGCACATCTACTCATCATATCGCTTTATACACTGCCAGACTACAAACGCGGATGGGCGCCAGACCATGGATGAATCGATACTGGAGCCATACATGATGCATCGTGCAGTACATACTACACACGCTGTCCAGCGTCCGTGGGCGCAGCTCGGCCCCAATAAAAAAAAAAAAAACATCTGGGCCAAACGCGAAGCAGGGCATGCCTGAAAAGAAGCACGACTTCGTGAAGGATTGACACGAGGCCCACGCGCGCGTTAGGACAGCTTTCGCTCGCCCACGGGTTACACACTTCCCGATAGTTTATACGGTGCAACGAGACGGGAGAGAAAGGCGCGGAAAGAAGGAAACGAGCGACTATAACTACACCTATGACGAAAAAAAAAACGTTTCCCTTTGGGCGGCCTTCTTCTTCCACGTTTTTCGCACGCATATAGTCGACCCTCCCCGACGGTGCGCGCCCCCACGTGGGTTACGAAGAATAGCGGCGGTGCTATAGACTAAAAGG